AAAATAAAATAAATAAAACACAAGTGAAAGAACTGCTGACCAATGGTGGGACTACCAGGGTCGCAAAGGTCGCACTTGTGCCCAAACCTGGCGTTCTGCCACAAGGCAGAAAAAAAATGTAAATAAATAATGTTATTAAAAATTAAATAAATTAAATTGTAAAAAAAAAAATTAAATAAATAAAATATAAGTAAAAGACCTGCTGACCAATGGTGGGACTTCCAACGTCGCAAAGGTTGCACTTGCGCCCAACCCTGGCGTTCTGCCACCGGGCAGAAAAAAAAATTAATAAATAATTTTATTAACAATTTAATAAATTAAATTGTAAAAAATAGATAAATAAATAAATAAAATACAAGTAAAAGTACTGCTGACCAATTGTGGGACTACCAGGGTCGCAAAGGTCGCACTTGTGCCCAAACCTGGCGTTTTGCCACCAGGCAGAAAAAAAAAATTGTATTAATAGTTTAATAAATTAAATTGTAAAAATAAATAAAATACAAGTAAAAGAACTGCTGACCAATGGTGGGACTACCAGGGTCGCAAAGGTCGCACTTGCACCCAACCCTGCCACCAGGATCTGAGGGAAGGGCACCGGCCAGGAGGGCCCTTCATGGTTTCTTGCACTTGGGCCCTGAAGGTTCTAGTTATGCCACATTTATATATATATTTTATCCTCTACCTTCGATATTTAGAACTAATACGCAGCAAGAAAGTCAGAGTAAAGTCAGGGGGGTGTGTTCTGATCCGGAGATGCCGTATATGGAAGCCAGAGGACCAGCATGACAGCCGAATGAGAAGTCTGCCATGGAAAGGTTTGGGATCATTGTGTTGGGCAGCGCAGGGATGAGATATCAGAATCAGGTGTGAACGCCCCGTTCTGAGACACCCGACGTGAGAAAAGGAGATCACATGACCCCACTGAGCTCTTATCTCCTGCGTGCCGACCTGTGTCCTACATACGTGGATTGTACACGGTGGGGTGTGAAGAGCACACCTGAACCGGACAATCCGGTCTGCAGTGCTGGGACACCCCAGGGGCATGAGCGGCAGGTGTGCAGGAGACACAGGGGGGGTGGAAACACCTGGCTGCTAAAAAAGGGGACTCATTGCCATTCTCATGAATATTAAACAGATGATATCGGGACTGGTTCCCAGAACAGGTGACACCCTTACGCTGCCTTCACATGATTGGGTTTGTACATGTATGCAAAATGTTTGGGTGCCTTCACACGCAGTGCAGGCTCTTGATTTCAAGGGCCGGCCCTGCACCCGGAAAATGGGGCCAAGCAGCTCATGCATCCTTTTCATCTTCGATTACTTTGCCAAAAAGAAAGCTTTGGCTCCATTCACCTCTAAGGTCTCCTTTCACACGGGCCTTCCGTTTTTTCCAAGAAAAAAACTGATCAGTTCACATCAGTTTACACACGTTTTTCATCAGTTGATATCCGTTTACATCTGTTTTTATTTGTTTACATCTGTTTTTGGTCCGTTTACATCCGTTTTCATCTATTTACATCTGTTTTTGGACCGTTTACATCCGTTTACATCTGTTTTCATCCATTTACATCCATGTTCATCTATTTACATCCATGTTTATCTATTTACATCCGTTTTTGGTCCGTTTACATCCATATTAATCTATTTACATCCGTTTACATCTGTTTTTGGTCCTTTTAAATCCGTTTTCATTTACATCCGTTTTTCATCTATTTACATAAATTTTTGTCCGTTTACATCCATTTTCTCCATTTTAATTTGTTTAAATCCCTTTTTGGTCCACTTACATCTGTTTTTGGTCCTTTAACATCAGTTTTCATCTATTTACATAACTTTTTTGACCATTTGCATCCGTTTTTAATCCGTTTGCATCCGTATTCATTTACATCCGTTTACATCCATTTTCATTTACATCTGTTTTCATCTATTTACATCCATCTTTTGTCCAATTACATCCATTTTTGTCCGTTTACATTTGTTTTTGGTCCATTTACATCCGTTTTCATCTATTTACATCAGTTTTCATCTGTTTACATCCATTTACATCAGTTTTTGGTCCGTTTGCATCCATTTTCATCTATTTACATCAATTTTTTTTGTCCATTTACATCCATTTTAATTTGTTTACATCTGATTTTGGTCAACTTACATCCATTTTTGGTCCTTTAACATCCGTTTTCATGTACATCTGTTTTCATCTATTTGCATCCATCTTTTGTCCAATTACATCCATTTTCATCTATTTACATCCATTAACATCCATTTACATCCAGTTACATCAGTTTTTGGTCCGTTTACATCCGTTTTCATTTACATCTGTTTACATCCGTTTTCATCTATTTACATCCATTTTTTTGTCCATTTACATCCATTTTTCTCCATTTTAATTTGTTTACATCTGATTTTGGTCAACTTACATCCGTTTTTTGGTCTTTTAACATCCGGTTTCATCTATTGACATCAATTTTTCGTCCAATTACATGCGTCTTTTGTCCGTTCTGGGGTTTTTTAATGGAAGAAAAATAGGGTTTTCTTTCGTTTTAAAACCCCCCAGATGTTAACGGATGCAGACATTAACGGATGTAAACAGATCATCATCCATTTACATCCGCTAGTCCACAGAAAAACATGGGTATCTGTTTATATCAGTTTTCATCTATTTACATCTGTTTTTTGTCCATTTACAACCATTTTACATCCGTTTTTTTAATGGAAGAAAAATAGGGTTTTCTTCCGTTCAAAAAAACCCGGATGTTAACGGATGCGGACCTTAACGGATGTTAATAGAAATACATGGGGGGCTGTTTTTCATCTGTAAACGGACAGATGAAAAACGGACATACGGAACGCCTGCGTGAAAGGGGCCTTCGGTTTGGTTTACATCTAAACATGTCAGGAACATGCACAAAATCTCGCACTTTCCCAACAGGCTCTTTAGCAGATGTGGGGGCGCTATTAGTTCTTAATGGTACCCCAAGACATCAGCAAACACGCATTTTCACGCAAGATGCGCAAAAATCTCCTGGAACCGCTCATGCACTAGCTTGCACCAAACTGGTGTCAGCTCACCCTTTGTGCTGTGGGAATTGCACCCAACGCACCTTGCCAACGCACACCTTTTAGCACCATAAGATGCACTGAGAGGCCCCGTTCACACCATGACACATGATGGCCGACGTCACTGTTAAGCACATTAGGACCCTGGTGCACAACCAGCAGCTTGAGGGACGCATGTGGCCCTTTAGTGCATGTTATCAGGCACTTGTACCCCAGATGTCAGAACCTACTATCAGCCTCTTTCAGCCGCTCTACAGCAGAGCTCAGACTGGGAGAGGCAGAAGCAGCACCAGAAGCCAATAAGGTGTATTGCAGTGCAAGGAGCATGCTGATAAGAGGAAAAAGTGACAGAGAGATGAGCTCATCACTGTGCTGCTTCTCCATTCACTGTCCAGTCCAGTCAGGACCTACTATTGACCTCTTTCAGCTGCTGTACAGCAGAGCTCAGACTGGGAGAAGCAGAAGCAGCACCAGAAGCCAAAGCAGTGCAAGGAGCATGCTGATAAGAGGAAAGAGAAGAGCGACAGAGAGATGAGCTCATCACTGTGCTGCTTCTCCATTCACTGTCCAGTCCAGTCAGGGCCTAATATTGACCTCTTTCAGCTGCTGTACAGCAGAGCTCAGACTGGGAGAAGCAGCACCAGAAGCCAAAGCAGTGCAAGGAGCATGCTGATAAGAGGAAAGAGAAGAATGAGAGAGATGAGCTCATCACTGTGCTGCTTCTCCATTCACTGTCCAGTCCAGTCAGGGCCTACTATTGAGCTCTTTCAGCTGCTCTACAGCAGAGCTCAGACTGGGAGAAAGAGAAGCAGCACCAGAAGCCAAAGCAGTGCAAGGAGCATGCTGATAAGAGGAAAGAGAAGAGTGAGAGAGATGAGATCATCACTGTGCTGCTTCTCCATTCACTGAACATTCACAAGCGTTAAAAAAAAAAAAATCAGGTCTCTTGCCCCTGACAAACCGGGCTTTGCTGTGTGACAGAGCTGTGCAAATTTCAGAACTGGATGGACAGATTTACAAATCCTGTAGCAGGTTAAACGGGTCTCATACATGTACAATATTTCATTGGAGTATTTCTCCGTTTATTTGGAGTAAATGCACGTATCATCTTACTTGCTGAAAAAAAAAAAAAACAAGTTCAACCATTAAAAAAAAAAAAAAAAAAAAAAAAAAAAAAAAGGTATAAAAACAAGTAGTCTGGGTATAGGTAATTTGGGTGGGTAGAATAGTTGTGGGCAGGGATTTGTATTCAGCGGGAACATGGGGGGGAACGCAGTTCTGGCACCTCCAGCACTGAATGTATGTAATGGCACGGGGCGCTAGGGGGGCGCTGGAGGACCTATTGCTGGCTGCTAGGGGATCTATTGTCACTAAAGGGGATCTATTTTTGTGTGGTGGTCTATTGTTGCTGGGGGTCAATTGTTGCTGGAAGGGATCTGCTTTTAAGGGAGGGGTCTATTGTTTATTGTTTCTAGCTGCTGGAGAGTATATTGATGGTGGCTGCTGGGGTGGTATTTTGTTTTGGGGACCAATTGTTGTTGGAGGGATCTATTGTTACTTGAGGGTCTATTGTTGCTGGAGGAATCTATTTCTGCTGGCGGTGGGGGATCTGTTTTTATGCTGTACAAATTATTTAGCACCATAAATGATACCTGGCTCTGTATTCTGAAAAAGAGGTGGAACCAAGTGACGGTGCTCAGAGGTGGGTAGGGGGCAGAGAAAAATAATGATTCAGAAGGGGGGGGGGGTTCTCCACCGGTTTTTTTTTTTTTTAGAAAAAAGCCCTGGTTATAGGTATGAGCATTATGGGTAATACAGGGAGTACAGTTCTGGGGAGAATAGATATGGGAATTGGTAGTATGGGAATGCATATGGGTGTAATATTGGTGGATAGTATAGAAATGGGTAGTAATATTGGAGGGTAGTATAAAAATAGGTAGTAATATTTGTGGGTACCAGGGGCGGACTAACCATTTGGAAACTCGGGCACTGCCCGAGGGCCCGGGTCAGTAGGGGGCCCCATGAGATGCCCCTGGTACCTTTTGTAGGCTTTTTTGAGTTTGGGCAAGGACACAGGGGCCCCATGATCCCCTATTGCCCGGGGGCCCCATGAGTTGTCAGTCCGCCCCTGGTGGGTAGTATAGAAATAGGTAGTAATATTGGTGGGTAGTATAGAAACGGGTAGTAATAGTGGTGGGTAGTAATATTGGTGGGTAGTATAGAAACGGGTAGTAATATTGGTGAGTAGTATAGAAACGGGTAGTAATATTGATGGGTAGTATAGAAATGGGTAGTAATATTGATGGGTAGTATAGAAATGGGTAGTAATATTGATGGGTAGTATAGAAATGGGTAGTAATATTGGAGGGTAGTATAGAAATGGGAAGTAATATTAGAGGGTAGTATAGAAATGGGTAGTAATATTTGTGGGTAGTATAGAAATGGGTAGTAATATTGGAGGGTAGTATAGAAATGGGTAGTAATATTGGAGGGTAGTATAGAAATGGGTAGTAATATTGGTGGGTAGTATAGAAATGGGTAGTAATATTGGTGGGTAGTATAGAAATGGGTAGTAATATTGGAGGGTAGTATAGAAATGGGTAGTAATATTGGTGGGTAGTATAGAAATGGGTAGTAATATTTGAGGGTAGTATAGAAATGGGTAGTAATATTGGTGGGTAGTATAGAAATGGGTAGTAATATTGATGGGTAGTATAGAAATGGGTAGTAATATTGGTGGGTAGTATAGAAATGGGTAGTAATATTGGAGGGTAGTATAGAAATGGGTAGTAATATTGGTGGGTAGTATAGAAATGGGTAGTAATATTGGTGGGTAGTATAGAAATGGGTAGTAATATTGGAGGGTAGTATAGAAATGGGTAGTAATATTGGTGGCAGCATGCCTCCAGCCTGGCTGGTGCAATCCTCTCCAGGGAAAGACGCTGAGCCCATGTGCTCCCAGAACATGAATACCGCTCCCAGCATGCAGTGGGGCATCCCTCCCCTGCGATTGGCCAGGGCTGTATCCATATCCATGCTGTTCATTTGCCTAGCCCCGCCCATGCTCTGGAAGGCTCTCATAGCTTCCTGCAGGCACCAGACTAATCAATCTCAGGACTGTTACGCCCCACTTGTCATCAGCAGGAACAGCGCCCCAAGGGCCAGATAAAGGCAAGCAAAGGGCCACAACTGGACCCGGGCCGCAGTTCGGGGACCACTGCCCTATAATCCTTTGCTCCTCCCCTGGAAGCTAGAGGAGCCAGGCCAGCCCAGACAGACATTAGACAGAGGGCAGGGCTATGACATACATGGGGGGAGATGGCTGTGGTCGAGAATTGACTCTTCCTGAAGAAGACAGATTTTCTAGCACGGTCAGAGACACACTGCTAGCAATAATAGACTTTTTGGAAAGGAAAAAGTCTGTAAATTTGAAATAGTTGAATATTTAAAGTGGTGACAGGGTCTCTTTACAATAAAAATAAAACCCCATTTCTCATTGTAAAGGTTCTGACTCAATAAAGATCCCATTTATACTGGAGTTGTATGATATGATATTTTACTGGCCATCGCTGAAGAAGGATTCCGGGGACAATCTAGGACCATTGTGGGATGGACGCTGATCCCCCCCAACATGGTCAGCCTTAGCTGAGGGACACATGTGGCATCCAAGCAACTGGCCGATGTGGAGGGAAGGATGTGTACAGGAATAAAGCCAGCTTTGTCTCATCTCCCCGCGTCTGGATGTTATAAGTGGAGCGTTAATGGGAGATTTAGATAAATATTTGTGTATCTGTAATCCCTGGGAGCCCACACGGCCCATTAATGGAGCCGGAGCTGCAGCCAGTCTCCAGAACTTCGCTAACCCCGTCTTCCACCATAGAACGCGTGCAGTGAGACAATGACATGGACGGTCTATATGTAGAGGACAAGGTTCTCCATACAAAGGTCCAAAATGTCACTTGAATGTTTCTGTTGATATATATTATAGACTTGTACAGGGGCGGACTGACCATTTGGAATCTAGGGCACTGCCCGAGGGCCCGGGGTCAGTAGGGGGCCCCATGAGATGCCCCTGGTACCTTTTCATAGGTTTTTTTTGAGTTTGGGCAAGGACACAGGGGCCCCATGATCCCCTATTGCCCGGGGGCCCCATGATTTGTCAGTGCGCCCCTGGACTTGTATGTATGTGGGGGTGTTTTTGGAGGGCTTTGAGTTATGTATCTATATTTATGGTGGTCTGTGTCCCTGTTGGGCAGATTTCCCTGTTTGGTCACCAGGATGGATGGATCTTGCTCAGAGGAATATCACATTTGCTGCCAGTAACTTATAAGTGGACTGTAGAGGGAGCAGATTGGAAAGGAACTGCAATCTAGAGCGGTCTCTTGTAATATGTCCCCAATCTCTGACAGTCTCTCTTCAGCCACACCTGTTTGACCACCTCCTGTAGTATTTCCAAAGTCCCTGACCATCTACCATAGTATGTTAAGTATCTGACCATCTACTGTACTATGTCTAGTCTAGGACCATCTACTGTAGAATATCCCATCTCTGATCATCTACTGTACTATGCCGAGTCTTTGACCATCTACTGTAGTGTGTCCAGTCTTTGACTCTCTACTGTAGCATGTTCAGTTTGCCAAAATCTACTCCTGTCCAGACCAGTCTTGGATGATCTACTGTAGCATGCCCAGTTTCTGACCATCTATAGTATGTCTAGTCTACGACCATCTAATGTGGTGCGTCCAGTCTCTGACCATCTAATGTAGTGTGTCCAGTCTGGGACCATCTACTCCAGTGTGTCCAGTCTCTGACCATCTAATGTAGTGTGTCCAGTCAGGGACCATCTACTCCAGTGTGTCCAGTCAGGGACCATCTACTGTAGTGTGTCCAGTCAGGGACCATCTACTGTAGTGTGTCCAGTCAGGGACCATCTACTGTAGTGTGTCCAGTCTTTAACCATCTACTGAAGTGTCTCCAGACTTTGACTATCTACTATAATATGTCCAGTCTGCAACTATTATAGTATTTTCAGTCTCTCACTATCTACTGTAGTATGTCCAATCTGTATAGTATGTCCAGTCTACGACCATCTAATGTAGTGTGTCCAGTCTCTGACCATCTACTCTAGTGTGTCCAGTCTCTGACCATCTACTCTAGTGTGTCCAGTCTCTGACCATCTACTCTAGTGTGTCCAGTCTCTGACCATCTACTCTAGTGTGTCCAGTCTCTGACCATCTAATGTAGTGTGTCCAGTCTCTGACCATCTAATGTAGTGTGTCCAGTCTCTGACCATCTAATGTAGTGTGTCCAGTCTCTGACCATCTAATGTAGTGTGTCCAGTCTCTGACCATCTAATGTAGTGTGTCCAGTCTGGGACCATCTAATGTAGTGTGTCCAGTCTGGGACCATCTAATGTAGTGTGTCCAGTCTGGGACCATCTAATGTAGTGTCCACTCTTTGACTCTCTATTGTAGCATGTTCAGTTTGCCACCATCTACTATAGTCCTGTCCAGTCCAGTCTTGGATGATCTACTGTAGCATGCCCAGTTTCTGACCATCTATAGTATGTCCAGTCTACGACCATCTAATGTAGTGTGTCCAGTCTCTGACCATCTAATGTACTGTGTCCAGTCAGGGACCATCTACTCCAGTGTGTCCAGTCTGGGACCATCTAATGTAGTGTGTCCAGTCTGGGACCATCTACTGAAGTATCTCCAGACTTTGACTATCTACTATAATATGTCCAGTCTGCAACTATTATAGTATTTTCAGTCTCTCACTATCTACTGTAGAGTGTCCAGTCTATGAGAGTTGGATTTGGATGTATTTTGTAGTCAATTTTTGACCATCTGCTGTAGTGTGACCGATCTCTAACCATCTACTGTAGTAGGCCCAGTATTTTACGATCTGCTGTGGCATGTCTGTTTATATCTTGTAGTCAGAGTTGGATTTGGGGGTAACTTGTAGTCAGATTTGGTTGCATCCTGTAGTCAAGGGTACCTTGTAGTTGGAGTTGGATGTATCTTGTAGCCAGTGTCGGGGGGGGGGGGGGGGGGGGGGGATCTTGTAGTCAGATTCAGGTGGTATCTTGTAGTCAGGGTTCGTTGTATCATGTAGTCAAAGTTGGGGGTATCTTGTAGTCGGAGCTGGTTGTATCTTGTAGTCGGAGCTGGTTGTAGAGCTGGTTGTATGTTGTAGTCGGAGCTGGTTGTATGTTGTAGTCGGAGCTGGTGGTATGTTGTAGTCGGAGCTGGGGGTATGTTGTAGTCGGAGCTGGGGGTATGTTGTAGTCGGAGCTGGGGGTATGTTGTAGTCGGAGCTGGGGGTATGTTGTAGTCGGAGCTGGGGGTATGTTGTAGTCGGAGCTGGGGGTATGTTGTAGTCGGAGCTGGGGGTATGTTGTAGTCGGAGCTGGGGGTATGTTGTAGTCGGAGTTGGGGGTATGTTGTAGCCGGAGCTGGTTGTATGTTGTAGTCGGAGCTGGTTGTATGTTGTAGTCGGAGCTGGTTGTATGTTGTAGTCGGAGCTGGTTGTATGTTGTAGTCGGAGCTGGTTGTATGTTGTAGTCGGAGTCAGGGGTGATTAATATGTTAAGGAGGTTCAGGATGGAGAGAAGAATGTTGGGTGAAGGGATCCCAAGTGTGAGAGGTTCTGGTAACAGCTGCATTGTGTCCTCTGTGTAAATAGAGAGACTCTGAATAGATGGAGGGGGAGGGGAGAGAGCTGAGCTGGAATTGGGGAAGAGGGGACAGAACTTTCTACAAAAGAGTTTCTATAAAACGTATTTTTAGGGCTCTTCATTTTACCTGTCCCTGACCCGCGCCTTTCATTCATTGGATATCAGCTCCTTCAGTCACGAAGGGCTCAGTGTAACGTTTTATCGGTGTAGGGTTTACATAAACGTTTACAAATGAAATTAGATTGACTGAAGTAACAGATTTATCGAATGCGAGGATAATGGAGATTGTATGGAAAGGGAAATACAATATATGAAGCAATCTGAGAGCAGATCGATTGTTTGTAGATTTCCAAGATGGCGATCACCAATGGTGGATTGATGGAAAACTGAGATTGAAGAATTAGATTGCTACACTTTAATGCGTTTTATTTTGCCGTCTCTTAACCCCTTCCCGTTGCC